AGAGCATCACCTCATCTTACGAACAGGGCTTTTTTGCTCATTGACTTCATCGTGCTGTGAAATGGCATTTGTCAGGTTGTCAGGTTGTCAAGGCAACAGGCATTATCAGCTCTCCCAATGCATCCACTTACGGTCCATGCAGCGCTTTTAGAGTGCAGACTACCCCACGTCAATAAGATTACTTGGCGTAAGTGCTTTTCGGCTGAGGCGGAAAGGCAGCCACTGCTCCATGCTCACTCTCACCTTCTATATGGTGCACTGATGGCCTCCAAGTGAAGCTATTGCCTCTGCATACCAATGTTTTGTAGCGTGAAACTCGTAACAGGGTTTTGCCATGTTTGGATACGAACTGAAGACGAAAATAGTGACTATGCAGTCTTTCATAACGTTCGCACTTTTAACCGATGGTGCAGTTCTGTGTTTCATTTACTTTAATATTTCCTGCATAATGCACAAGCATAACGTCCAATGGAATAACTATATGCTGCTACTTTTGCATCATCTTAGATTAAAGCAAGGTATTTACGGTAGAGAAGGAGAAGTGTCAACGACTCATCTAAAGGTAAGATAAAACTATTGATCTTCTTGGAAGTGAGCCAGCAGACCGTCACAAACTTTCTTTGCATCACCCAAAAGCATGTCAGTGTTCTCCTTGAAGAATACTGGGTTGTCCACAGCTGCATACCCCACTCCCAAAGTCCGTTTCACCATTATCACCTAAAGGACAAAATAATGCATTTGTTTTTCACCCCTCTTAGACTCATTTGATAAGGAGCAGAGACTGAGGTTCACCTTTTTAGCCAACCAGACACGGAGGACGGGCATCCCGGCGAGTATAGAGTTGGGATCCTCTTCAGCTGCAGAGTTGACAGTATCATTAGCGCCGATAACAAGAACCACATCAGCTTTTGGGAAGTCAGCATTGATCTCGTCCATCTCGAAGACAATGTCGTAGGGTACCCCAGCTTCCGCAAGCAGAACGTTTAATTGGCCAGGCATTCGACCTTGAGGGAACCAATGAGAAGCATAAGGCAATCGTATTGTCGTGCTTCAAATGCTAATAGCTAATAAATGTTGAGGTCTGTTAAATAGTGTTTTTGAAAGGATGAAGAGGCTACCTACCAGCCACGGGATGAATAGCAAATCGAACGCGCTTTCCTCGCTTTGTAAGAAGTTTGACCAATTCAGCGATGGGATATTGAGCCTTAGCAACACAGAGACCGTAGCCGGGTGCAATAATAATGTCTTTTGCGTCTTCTAGCAGACCCCCAACGGCTTCAACTGAGGTTTCACGATGGGTACCTTTAACAGAAAAGGATAGAAATCAAGAGGTATTCCAGTTGAGGTTTCCTATCATGTATAAATCTATTCGCTGTATTATAAAAGCATTTGGGAATTTGAGACGAGCCATTGACCGT